CTATCCTGAAGGCTTGTGCTTCTGTCTGGGGCTCTCACCCACCCCTGCTCTGATGGGAAGGCTCGCAGCTTTTTCTGGGAGGGACCCCAAAAAATGGATAGCAAAGAGAAATGTGGTGCAGATGAAGTACAGAGACTCCAATAAAACGCAAACAGAATACACTAAGGAAATAAAAGCAGATGCAGACTCAGTGGAGGGACGCTGATCATTTAAGCTAAGGAGGAATTTCATAAAAACCAGTAACACTGAGAACAGTATGCTTTTGTCCAGTCCCGAAGGCATTCATTTACCACCTCTGAAGCCTGGTTTGTGCACTATAAAACAGGAGCAATAGTTATTATATCTTACATAAATGTAAACTTCTGCATGGGTATTTTGTTCAAATACAGTACTGTAAGATAGGATGAGCATTATCCTAAAAGTTTGAAGACTTGAATAAAAATATTCATATTTATTATTTAAGCTTTGAAAGTTGTGAGTATAACCCCAAATACTGATACTTCATTGATTTGATGGGAAAATATTCAGAAAGCTGGACATAGGGTTATTTTGTTTAGTAGGTTTACCGCATTTTATGTACTGTGCTCGAACAAATCTGAATGAAACGAACTGTTACAGAATTAAGCTCTGGAATCTATTCCATCTTTTAAGCAACTGTTAGTGAGTCACTTTGTAGCACTCTGAATCATCTCTAATCAATTGATTTTAAATTCAATCTGCCATACATAGAGTTACCTTACCACAATGCAACACCTTTTTAATATGTCCACATTTTCATTTAGAATGGGTTAAGCAGAATTTCTTTTCATCTCAAAAATAAGTAGATACTTGTATTCTTCTAGGTAGTACAATTTTTCAAATTAAAAAATTATATTTTTAATATGTGCTCCAGATAGTCTCATAAAATGCCACCCTGCTGAGGAATTTTATAAGTATTTCAATGCTTGGGAAAGGCAGCTATCCTAGAACTAGTAAATAAAGAGGGTACATTTTGATCCTATAAAACTGCTGAAATAAAAATCAACCAATAAACAAAAAATAATTCCGAATGAGCGGGGTTTGTTTTTGTGTGTTTGGTGACACTTACTTTTATTGTAAGTCATGGTTATCTTCCTGAACTACTTGGTTTTCTTTCTCAGTGTGCTCGGATTCAGGGCAGCGTTTATCAATCCTCTCCAAAGTGCCTGTATTTTCTCAGGAAGTCTAATGAGATGACCTGTGCAGCAGAGGCCAGAAGATTAACTGCTTGCTACAAACAGTTATCACTTTCATTCCAAGACATCCCTAATAAATGCTCTTTAAATGGTGTATGTGGCCAAGAAGAAAGCCTCAGAGGTTAAAAAAGAATGTAATTTCTGTGGCTAATGTAAGTGGTTTGATTGAGATGTCTTAGTACCTGGGGTGTAAACATGAAATAACATTCATGCTTTGGTCTGATATGTCTGGCCAAAGCCCCTCTCCTACTGGAAGAAGCTCCCTTCCTGACCTAGTGGTGTCACTTTTGATTATCAAGATAGTTGGGAAGACGTAGTTGAAGCTGCTTCACGACCTCAAGCTCCTGTTCTGCTGTGAGTTCCCCTCCCCCCGCGGTGGAGGTGGCCCAAGGATCCTGTGCTGGGACCGTGTAGGGGGCGGCTGTCCCACCCTATTCTCCTTTCTGTGTGGGTCTTCTAGGCTTGGGATAAGGACCAGATGGGAAAAAGGAGGGGAAGGGAGGAGGCGAGGACAGGAAGAGGGAGAAAGAGGGGGAAAGAGAGATGGTGGTTCTGCAAAATGGGCTGCTCTTGTGGCTGTGGTCAGGAGATGCAAACCTCCTCATCGCGGACGTGCAGCCCCGCGCTCTCACGGTGGCCGTCCAGCTGCTGTACCATTTTGTCTAGTTTTGTTTTTCATGCAGTGCCTGTGGCAATCTGCCTTTCTTTTCTTTTTAAAAATGTATTACATTTATAAAGACATAAAATTGTGTCACTGGGATACCATGTCATGTGTCAATACATGGATCCATTGTGTTATGTTTAAATCAGGCTAACTACATCTACCTACTCCAAGACTTACAATTTTTATGGTAAAAACTTTTGAAATCCTTTCTTCCAGCCCTTTGAAATAGACCATACATTGCCATCTGTGGTCACCCCACTGTACAATAGCACCCCAGGACTTCTGGCTCATATTTAACTGTCACTCAGTATAGGTTGATCAACCTACCCCGTTGCACTCCTTATGATGTCCGAATGATAGTCTCTGGTGAGTGTGCCCATATTTTCATTGTCTAGTCATCATCTGCTGAACACTTGGAGATTTCTATTTCCTGGTTGTTCTGAGTAGCACTTCAGGGCCTGTGGGATATCTCTTCCACATGTTCCATTTCTTTGTGCATCTGCCCAGCAGGGGGATTGCTGGGTCATGTGTTGGTTCTGCTTTTAATTTTTTTCAGGAACCTCCATACTGTCTTTCATAATGGCTGTATTAATTCGCTTTCCCAATGACAGTGAGCAAAGGTCTCTGAGTCCGTGCAGTTATTCTTACCAGTTCTTCTACCTGCTCATTTTTTCTACTTACTCAATATCTCTCTTGGTTTGAAGCTTTCTCTCTAGCATATCTTATAGGCCTGGCTTGGTCCCTCAGCTTGTGTTTATCTGGGAATGTCTTTTTTTCTTCTTTATTTCTGAAAGTTCACTTTCCTGGGGACAGTATTTAGGGTGGCAGTTGTTTCATTCAGTACTGTGAGAATCTCATGCTGCTCTCTCCTGCCTATAAGGTTTCTGTAGAGAAGCCAGCTGTCAGGAGAATTAGGACACCTTGTGTGTGGTTTTGTTTCTCTTTCTGCTTTGAGAATCCTCTCTTTACCTCTCATGTTTCAGAGCTTCATTATAAGATGTCATTAGAGTTTGGATCTGGAATGTCCCCAGAGTCCTGTGTGCTTAGGACTTGGTCCCCAACTGGTGGCATTCTTGGGAGGTGGTGGAAATTGCAGGAGATACAGCTGGATCGGAGGAAGTAGGTCACTGGACACATGCTTCTGATGGGGATAGTTCTCTCTGTCTCTCTCTGTCTGTCCCTCTGTGTCTCTGTCTGTCTCTGTCTCTCTCCCTCACCACAGGCAGATAGCAATGAAGTCAGCCAATCCTGTACTGACACCCTTGAAACCGTGAGCCAGAGTCTTTCCTTGTGCAAGGCATTTTGTCCCAGGAATGGAGAGATGACTGACACAGATGCCACTTGGATATTTGCCTCCTTCTCTAGGCTTAAGAAGTTTTCTGTTATCATTTCTTCGAATAAGCTTTCTACCCCTTTGGTCCTCTTGAACCCCCATAACCCAAATATTTGGTCATTTAAAATTGGCCCAAAGTTCCCATAAGCTGTCTTTATAACTCTTTGCTCTTTTTCTTTCCCAGTTGTATACTTCGAAACAACCTGTCTTCAGGTGTACGTATCATTTCTTCTGTTTGATCTCTCCTGCCCTTAATGCTTTCTAATGCACTTTAAATTTTGCTTAGTGGATTTTCAGGTCAAGGATTTCCATTTGATTTTTTTTTAAGTCATTTCCATCTGCTTGTTAATTTTCTCTGTTAGGTATTGAATCGTTTTTCAGTTTTCTTTGATCTCGTTGAGTTTCCTTAAAACACTTCTTTTAAATTCTCTGAGAGTTCTTTCATACTGATTACTATCTGATTTGTTTCAGGCATCTTACTTAGGCTCTAGGTGAGGTCAGGGTTTCCTGAAAGCTTCTAGTGCTTGTGGGCACATGATCCTGTGGGCATTGAAAGATTTACTCAGTCTTCCCAATCTGGCTTTGTTTGTGCCTGTCTTTCCAAATCTTCTAAGCAGACTGCTTGTTTTCTTTGAATCTGTAGTGACTTCCCCTATCAGCACACAGTAACACCCAGGCAAAAGTTGCCAAGAGCCTGCTGCTGGTTTGGAGTTTTCTGGGAGTCCCTGTCGCACTGTTTCAGTACTAGAGGGTGAGTCAAGCCCAGAGTGGTCCCAAAGCCACAGTTGATGCGCTCTTCTGAATTAAGCAGGGGAGTGCCTAGGAGTGTATTCCTCCCTCACAAGTTTCTCCTTGGGGAGACAAGCCCTGGACACGTCATTCACAATCACTGGCCTGAGATCAGGCAGAAGTCTTCTGGTTCTGGGCAGAATCACTGGCCTCTGTGTCATACCTGTGGCCACTGACCTGTGTCAACTCTGAGCCTACATGCTATGGGCTGCCTACTGCTGGGCCAGTTTCCCAAGACCCCTATTGCCAGCCACAGGAGATGCTGGCTGGAACAGAAGTCCAGTAGACCAGCACTGTGTGTCTTTCCTGGCCCTGTGACTTTTCAGAGGGTTCCTCTGTGGGTGGCCTGGGGTTGGGGCTGTTTGGTTTTGCTCTTTGATCAGGTTTGGGTAGGGGAAGTGCACAGGTCGGTTCAGTGTTGACGGGTGAAGATGGTCATCGTGAGCATCTGCTGTAGGTGCGGTTGCCCACTTTCACATGTGGCTGCATCTTCAAAATGACCTTTCT